AAGTGTCGCCAGCGCGTTAGACTTTTCTGAGTGCAATAATTTTACATTTGTGCTTTCAATTGAAACTAAAGAGTCTATTAAACGTCACTATGTCATTATAAATCTATTTTACGAAAAGAGTAAATGTAAAAACGGTGTATGATATATATTCATGTAAACATAGAAGATAGGCCTACAAATATCTGATACCTATTGTTGCATCACAAGATGAAGCGGCCACGATAAACGAATATAAGCGATTTGTATTTCAAAACATTTTTCTTACATATCAACGTTTTCTGAACGGTTATTTCTAACGAACAAAAAACATAACAACTACTCCGCTCGTGAATAAACGTTTATCGCTTGTTTCGAGGTGGAATCACGTGGTTAGACGATGTGGAAGAAAAGTAGACTGGAATAAAGATAAAATTAATAAATCAATTAAATCATTACGGATCTAACGGGTACATGTGCATATACACGTGTAAGTACATGCGTATACAAAAGTAAACGAATGTAAACTCACGAAAACATTAATAAAAGAAGTATAAAACAAGAAACAACCGATTTTATATAACGGTCTTGTCTTGGGTCTGGATTTGACTCTTTTTAAGAGAGACATTTGTTTCTATAACTCGGAGACTAATGATCATATCTTTAAACAACAAAGTGCATTTCAAAGAGAAATGATAGCAGTTTGTACAGTAATTAAATGGTAAGGATTCACCAAAAATGGACTTGAAACTTTTTGGTTTCTTGTTTTTCGATTTTTCTTTTTTTTTTTTTTTTTCGAGATACGGTTGATCCCTCGTCCCAGAGATCTTAACCGATTAAATTTTTGAATGTATCTTTGCAAACATCTTAAAAATGCGCATTCAACTACGCGGGCGATTTTGAAAATATAAGTATATCTGTATATCCAAATATTGCCGGCATTGATTTGTCTTCAGTGCACTTGGCTGATGAACAAGAAGTGTCTAATCTTGAACAAACTGTTTTACAGTAAACCCAAGAGTTCATGAACAGGCAGTGATGCAACTACAACCAGCTATTTGGCAAGAACCGCAGCCAGCAGGTGGGCAAGACGCGTCAAATAACTTAGATAGGAACTTATTACAAACTTTGGTAGATTTGATGAGACACAAAAGAGATTTGCTTTGTCCAGATCCTGAAGTATTCAAATGTGACTTACGAGAAGTTCGCACATGGATCCAAACCTTTGAAGTTTTCATTGAATCATGAGTTTCTAATCCCGTAGAATTGTTCTATCTAGTAAAATAAATTGATGGACAAGCTTAGGCTGAGGTCATACAGAAACAGCATATCTGTAAAGGAATGAAGGATTCCTTGTCTCATATCATATATAGAATTAAGATTATAAAGAATTTATTGAATTTATTATATCAACAAAAGAAATACTTTATCTAATTTCACTAATTTGTAACTTGTTGGCTACAGTGACGTTAGAGTTATACGAACGCTCTACAAAAACGCTTGTTTTGAATCCGCCAGAGAGCCATGTGATACGCCGTGTGCTGCGAAATGTCGACTATTCATGTTTTGTGAAGATTAAGGCTCGTCACACTGTAAGTCAACTATTTATAGTGTTAATAATGTATTGTTCAGATGTGTGAGCACATGTTAATAACAAAGTAGTGTCTTTTATGTGATATATAACTTGAAATTATGTGATATAAGTGCGTGCTATTCCTACAACATTCTAATATTTTCTCAACGATTTGCTTCAGTTATTTACCAAAGAATAATGTTTTTTCCATTGATATAAGTGCGTGCTATTCCTACAACATTCTAATATTTTCTCAACGATTTGCTGAAAATATCTAGTCATTAGTTATTGATCTTATATAAAGTGCCTTAAATATCTTAGGAAATGTCTTAATATAGTATAAGGAATAGGAATTCATTTGTTTGTTTGCTGCTTAAAAGATGCTAGTCAAGGTAAAATTGTGCCTTAAGTGACAAATATAATCGAAAATGTCTTCATGATATATTAGAGAAAGTAAAAGAGAAGAAATGTGACGATAAATTGGGGGAGTCTAAGAAACCAGCAATTGAAGATAAATCTGTATTAAACAGTATTCGAGTCACTAAGTCAAGGATAGATGATACGCTCAGCATGAGGTTATATAACAATACTGATAAAGCAAAGAAAAATGTTGGTATATGCTCTACTGGATGATCAGTCTGATGTTTGTTTTGTGAAGAAAAGTACTCTAGAAACACTGCAAGTCACAGGATCTCATGTGAATTTGCAAATAAGTACTGGAATGGGTGACAGTAATGTACTTTGCACTAAAGTAAATGGTCTTGTGGTACAGGGAATGTTTGACCAAAGGGAAATGACATTATCTCCTTTATATTCTAGAGAAAGTATACCAGCTAGACGAGATAAAATTCCTAAAATTCCAAGACCAGGAACTGTTCAAAACTGGCCATATTTGCATAAAATTGCCGGTGAATTAATGCCTTATGACTTATCATAGGACTTGATTGTACCTAGACACTAAAACCTAAAGACATAATCCCCCAAAATGATGATCCTTGTGCTTTAAAGACTGACTTAAGGTAGGGTGTCATTGGGAAACTTCAAGACAATATTTTAGAGGATGAAAGTGTACATGTGAACGTAGAACCACGTCTCAAAAAGTTATTAATAATAAGGCAGTTAATTCCCTCATAATCCCATACGGATCAAAGGAAGCTATTAACTTTCATGTTTGAATAAGATTTTAATAACATATAGACGAGGGATGGGATCATGTTTTATGAAGACAAATTATTAATGACAAAAAGGGAGCATACAAGCAAGAAAGAGGACATGAAATGCCACTTCCTTTTAAAAAAATGATAAGGTCAGGTTTGAGAACAGTAAAGACAGCTATTTTCAGACTGAATAAATTGAAGAGAAAGTTCAAGGTTGACAAGAATTATCATCAAGACCATGTGAAGTTTGTGCAAGATATAATGACACAAGGTTATGAAAGGTCAGGTTGAACAATAAAGACCTAGCTGTGAACAAGGTTGACAAGAATTATCATCAAGATCATGTGAAGTTTGTGCAATATGATAACACAGGTTAGTATGACAAGATGGACTAGAAAAAATATAGCAATAGGTTAAGCTAGGCTGGGAGATAATGCTACATATGTCTTGGATATCGGGCATGTGGGGCCTCATGGTGTCGAACATGTGGGCGCCACATAGAAGAAAATGAAAATGAAGGATGTGAGTGAAAGAAAAAGATCGAGGGAGAAGGGGAAAAGGGCGGAAGAAAGGGATAAATATGAGAGCGATAAATAAGGAGATTAATGGATGGAAGACAAGAATCGTGAATGTCAGAATAAAGGAGGAAGAAAGAAGAGAGGAAAAGGAGAAAAGAAGGGAGAGAATGGGAATGACAGGAGAGACAGGACGAAGAAGAGGAAAAAACAAAAAGAGAGAGAAGGGAGAATTAAATAAAGAAAAAATAAAGAAGAATTTTTTTTTTTTTTTTTTTTTAGGTTTTTTTACAAAAAAAAAAAAAAAAAAAATACATCGTAAAGAACATGATTATAAAAATTCCTTTTGAACTCACAGTGAAAACAAACGAAAAATGTGCTATAGTCATTTTATTGAAGAAAACATCTGTATAAGCAACACTCGCATACAGTGCATATCAACAATTCAAATGTAATTCGGAAAATTTCTGTTTATGATTTTCAAAATTCCCTTTAAGCTTCCTAGATCAAATTTCACATTGAAAATATAATTTAAAAAGTGTGATTGGCTGAGAAATATGGATATGTCATTAATTAATTCCACAAATATTCCTTTGCTGATATCTTTTGGAATTTATTTTTATGAAATTTGAAAATGAAATGAAATTATGAAATTTGATTTTTTTTTTGAAGTCTCACAACACGAAAATGAATTGTTGAATAAATTAAATTCAAATGGTATCATACGCCTCCGATAGGGATACACACGTAATGGTGCTATGTGTGTGTGTGTGGGCCTGTGTGTGTGTTGTGTGGTGTAGGTGTTGTGTGGTGTGTGTCTGTGTGTGTAGATGTGTGTGGGTGTGTGTGTGCTGTGTGTGATGTGTGTGTGTGTGTGTGTGTGTGTGTGTGTGTGTGTGTGTGTGTGCGTGTGTGCGTGTGTGTGGGTGCGTGTGCATGTGCGTGTGTGTGTGCCGTGTGCGTGTGCGTGTGCGTGTTGCGTGTTCGTGTGTTGTGTGTGTGTGATGCTAGACCTGTTTCTGCGCAAAGGAGGTGATGTTCTGCATTACCTATTTGTTCTTGTGATTGTTGGTAAGCAGGGTAACCCAAAAAGTTATGAACACATTCTGGTACTTTTAGCTTCAACTCGGATTGCCATTGAACTTTGGTGGTGATCCGGTTATGTCAGGGTGTAGGTCTAGAGAATGTCTTCTGGTTTGTCTGGGGTGTGTGAATATGGGGGTAAAAACGTAATTAAAGTCTGATGGTTTCGTTAGTGCCAGATACAAGACACGAAAGATCTCGATCAGACAATTTGAGATGAGCAAACGAAATATCAAAATTAGGGAAGAAAAAGAAAATAAAAAAATAAGACTGCCCACCTTCAGTATTGTGTAGTTATACGATTGTTTATGTTTTCATCTTGCTGGATTATATATTATATGTTAATATGTTATATTATATGTAAATATTATATATTCATATGTAAATATTATATCTTTATATGTAAATATATATATTAAATACGTAAATTTATATTAATAATATAATATTAAATATATTATAATGTAAATATTAATATTTATGTAAATATTATATATTATAAGGTATTGATATGATACTCGTTATATGTTAATATATATATTTATAAGTAAATATATATATTTATATGATAATATTATATTATTTATATGTAATATATATTCATAAGTAAAGTTATATATATTAATATATAAAGGGTCAATGACTCTTGGGGGGGGGGGGGCACACGGGGTGCCAATCAGATGCAGGCAGGGGGGGGGGGTGCCATCCTGTGCCACTATGGAAGACCCGCCTCTGGGACTATGACTGGATCCAGGATTTGCTTTGAAAGGCTTCATTGGTATAAGGAAACGCGGACGTCACAAGTGTGCTTCAGTTGATTCCAGTGTGATTCTTTAAGTGCGAATATCTTTGTTGCATCAGTGACCCTATGGCCTTAACGGGAGGTATGTGCTCTCTCAGTGCTTCGAGTCCGTGCTTGACTAAGGAGGGACTATTTCTGGAAAAGAAAGAAAATGAGTTATTTCGACACATGAAATATTGTGTATTTCATTGCTCGGGAAGGAGGCACACTGGCTTATTATAATTATTATCTTAATCCTTCTTGTTTATTATCATCACCGTTATTTAGATCCTTTATTGCGACCCCTTAGGGAATCTACCATCCAAAATCCAAAATTATATACACGCACGTAAATACAGACATGTATTTATATCTTCAAAGGAGAAATTATATAGTGACAGAGAGATATAGCCAATTATATATACACGTACGTACACATTTATATATATACCTTAAGACGTAAATACAGTAAACAAAACCATGAAAAAAAACATGAATTTACCATCCAAAATCCAAAATTATATACACGCACGTAAATACAGACATGTATTTATATGTATTTACTACATGACCTAAGACCACGTCAGCTAAACAAGGTCACACCAGACTCCCCAAACCCACCATCCAAGCAGCACACACAGTCAGCAGCGCCTGATCTGCAGCCTCGAGTGTTGTCGAAAAGCGTGCACTGGTTCCTGGCCGTGCATCTTCCCCCTTGGTTCGTGCACGCCCGCCCTGTCCTCGTGCACGGGTCCGTAGGGGCACAGCAACGGCATTTCTTTCCCTTGCAACCACCTCTGATCGTCACTTCGTTGCCCTTGCATCTCCCTTTCGTGCAATAACCGAAGGAGCGAGAGCAAGGTCTGCGGATTCTGCAATCTGGGAAAGGGGAAGAGAAGCAATGCAATTTTATAGGAATTGTATATGAAGTGTTGTGGTGTTCAGTATGTATAATTGTATACGAAGTATTGTATTGTGAATTATATCCAATATTATAAGAACTATTGTATTATGTATATATATATATATATATATATATATATATATATATATAATATATATAATAATATATACGGTAAATGAATTATTGTACTATTAGTATATACGATAATATATGGGTATTATATATATATATATATATATATATATATATATATATATATATATATATATATATATATATATATATATATATATATATATATATATATATATATATATATATATATATATATATAGTGTAAATGTGTGTGTGTGTGAATATATATTATATATATTATATATATATATATATATATATATATATATATATATATATATATATATATATATATATATATATATATATATATATATATATATATATATATATATAGCAGAAGGGAAAGAATATACACAGAAAACACAAAGTACATCTACCTGGACATAGATACATCTATCCTGGCAGAGTGAAAGAAAGGTATACACAGAAATCACAAAATACATGTACCTGTACTGACAGACAACGAAAGAGATACAAAGACCTCACGAACTCCTCTTACCGACGCAGCAGACGCAGCCGTCGGTGCAGTCTCCGACATCAACGCTGGCGGTGTTCGGGCAGGTTTCGGGCCTCACACACTGGCCGCCCCTCTTCCTGCAGGTCCTGGCATTAACGCAGGGGCGCGGGGCACAGCAGGTACACCCTTCGCCGAGGCACCCGTCGGGTATGATGTCTTCGTCCTCGTTGCAGCCTGTGGTCGAGCACACGCCTCCGCTCTGGGCGCAGACGAACCTCGTGGTGCAACCTGGACGGGGGGAAAAGATTTTAAAAGGATTTAGTTTGAGATTTGGTTTTAATTTCATTCGTTGCAATGGATATTCTTTGCTATGACGATTTTATTTATGTCTATTTTATTCTCCTTCCCAATTTCTCCCTGTGTGCAAGGAATGGCCGGGGTTTTATTGTTTGTGTCTATTTTATTTTGCTTCCAAATTTTGTCCTGTGTGCAAGGAATGGCCGGGGTTACCATTCACTGGCAGCGCGCGGGATCGAACGCTGGTCGGTACGATGGCTAAACCAACACGTTAACCACTGCGCCACACAGGACACGAAGACGAAAGAGGGAAGAGAGGAGGAGGTGACAGTGAAAAAGGGGATTAGTTGCATAAGGCCTATTGTTTCTTGTAATTTGTGTTTTGGTGTTTGGATTTGCTTCTTTTAAGTGAGAGGAAGATTTTCTCTACCTATCTTTCCTTGTCTCTTACGGTGGGTTTTATTATGGTGGGATTAATGACAGCGATTTGGTTTTACAAATTGCTAATCTTTTTCTGCGCTTCGCTATCCCTTTCTCTTTGTCATTCTCCCTGCCATCTCTCTCTCCGTCTTTCTCATTCTCTCTCTCTCTCCTTTGTCCGGAATTCTCTCTCTCTTTC